GCAGGCTGGAAGCTGTGACTCTAGAGAAAGAGACGCTGGACGATTCTTCTGTGCCTTTGGGCAGTCTTTAGAGATTAAAGTGAATGGTATAGCTAGAAGGGAACTCATTCTCTAGGACAGTATAGTTTGTAATAATACTAGAAACTGGTCAGTGTATACAGTGGTCAGTACTCATCTGTGGTTTTCTATTTTATGTAATTTATGTATTGATTCTCTAAAAATACCAGTTGATTGTTTTTATACTTTAGAGGTTAACTCAGTATTGCATTTGGTGAACGTAAGCTAGTAGTAGTGTTAGAAGTCATTTAACTTCAGGAGGTGGGAAGAAAAGAACCGTCAGTCCAAAGTTGATTCCTATGAGGTGGAGGTCAGACACACCTCCACTGTCCAACCTTTTTACCAGTTCTGACATCAGCTGTCCTTCCCATGGCACTCTCTGCTTCTCTGCTTGGTTCAATAATTTGTTGCAGTGGCCACAAAGAACTCACAGACCATACTCACAGTTATGTGGTTTATTAGGGAAGTAACAGGCTACTTGTCCACCAAGAGTGACCCTGCTAGTATTTGAAATACCGGTGGCAAAGCTTCCAGTATCATAGCAACACACAAGCCACCACAGTAGGACACACTGATGGATCACCAGGGTCACCCGCTGGACAGGTTTCAGTGGAGATTCCAGACTAAGACAGACTAGGAAGAAGGACCTGGTATAGTCTACTTCTGAAAAAACTGACCAGTAAAAACCTTATTATTAGCAGCGGAACATAGTCTGATATTGTGCTGGAAGATGAGCTCATCAGATTAGAAGGTATTAGAAGACGACTGGGGAAGACCGCCTCCTCAAAGTAGAGTTGACCTTAATGACGTGGATGCAGTCAAGCTTTTGAAACCTTCATTTGCTGATGTGGCATGACTCAAAATGAGAAGACATAGTTGCAAACATCCATTAATAATAGGAGCATGCAATGTATGAAGTATGAATCTAGGAAACTTGGAAGTCGTCAAAAATGAAATGGAACACATGAAGATCAATATCCTTGGCATTAGTGAGCTGAAATGGACAGGTATTGGCCATTTTGAATCAGACAATCGTATGGTTTACTATGCTGGAAATGACAAATTGAAGAGGAATGATGTCACATTCATCATCAAAAAGAACATTTCAAGATCTATCCTGAAGTACAATGCTGTCAGTGATAGGATAATATCCATATGCCTACAAGGAAGACCAGTTAATGTGGCTGTTATTCAAATTTACGCGCCAGCCACTAAGGCCAAAGATGAGGAAATTGAAGATTTTTACCAACTTCTGCAGTCTGAAGTTGATCAAACATGCAATAAAGATGCATCGATAATAAGTGGTGATTGGAATGCGAAAGTTGGAAACAAAGAAGTATCAGTAGTTGGAAAATACGGCCTTGGTGATAGAAATGATGCTGAAGATAGCATGATAGAATTTTGCAAGACCAACAACTTATTCATCGCAAATACCTTTTTTCAACAGCATAAATGGCGACTATATACATGGACCTCACTGGATGGAAAACACAGGAATCAAATAAACTACATCTGTGGAAAGAGACAATGGAAAAACTGAATATAATCTGTTAGAACAAGGCCAAGGGCCGACTGCGGAACAGACCATCAGTTGCTCCTATGCAAGTTCAAGTTGAAGCTGAAGAAAATTAAAACAAATGCACAACAGCCAAAATACAACCTAGAGTATATCACACCTGAATTTGGAGACCATCTCAAGAACAGATTTGACACATTGAACACTAATGACCAAAGACCAGACGAGTTGTGGGAAGACATCAAGGACATCATACATGAAGAAAGCAAAAGGTCATTAAAAAGACAGGAAAGAAAGAAAAGAACAAAATGGATGTCAGAAGAGACTCTGAAACTTGCTCTTGAATGTAGAGTAGCTAAAGCAAATGAAAGAAATGATGAAGTAAAAGAGCAGAAGATTTCAAAGGGCAGATCCAGAAGACAAAGTCAAATATTATAATGAAATGTGCAAAGACCTGGAGTTAGAAAACCAAGAGGGAAGAACACGCTCAACATTGCTTAAGCTGAAAGAACTGAAGAAAAAGTTTAAGCCTTGAGTTGCAATTTTGAAAGATTCTATGGACAAAATATTGAATGACGTAGGAAGCATCAAAAGCAGATGGAAGGAATACACAGAGTCACTGTACCAAAAAGAATTGGTCGACCTTCAGCCATTTCTGGAGGTAACATATGATCAACCACTGATGGTATTGAAGGAAGAAGTCCAAGCTGCACTGAAGACATGGGTGAAAAACAAGGCTCCAGGAATTGACGGAGTATCAGTTGAGATGTTTCAACAAAGAGATGCAGTGCTAGAGGTTCTCACTCGTCTGTGCCAAGAAATATGTAAGACAGCTAGCTACCTGGCCAACCGACTGGAAGAGGTTCATATTTGTGCCCCTTCCAAAGAAAGGTGATCCAAAAGAATGTAGAAATTATTGAACAATATCATTAATATCACATGCGAGTAAAATTTTGCTGAAGATCATTCAAAAGCAGTTGCAGCAGTACATTGACAGGAAATTGCCAGAAATAAATTTAAGCCAGATTCAGAAGACGACATCGGAGGGATGTCATTCTTGATGTCAGATGGATCCTGGATGAAAGCAGAGAATAACAGAAAGATGTTTACCTGTGTTTTGTTGACTATACAAAGGCATTTGACTATGCGAATCGTAACAAATTATGGATAACATCGTGAAGGATGGGAATTCCAGAATACTTAATTGTGCTCATGAGGAACCTGTACATAGACCAAGAGGCAGTCATTCGAATAGAGCAAGGGGATACTGTGTGGTTTAAAATCAAGAAAGTTGTGCATCAAGGTTGTATCCTTTCACCATGCTTATTCAGTCTGTATGCTGAGTAAATATAATCGGAGAACCTGGACTGTATGAAGAAGAACTCGGCATAAGGATTTGTGGAAGACTCATTAACAACCTGTGATGTGCAGATGACACAACCTTGTTTGCTGAAAGTGAAGAGGACTTGAAGCACTTACTGATGAAGATCAAAGACCACAGCCTTCAGTATGGATTATATCTCAGCATAAAGAAAACAATAATCCTCACAACTGGACCAATAAGCAACATCATGATAAATGGAGAAAATATTGACAATGTCAAGGATTTCATTTTTTTTGGACCCACAATCAACACCCATGGAAAGCAGCAGTCAGGAAATCAAACAACGTATTACAATGGGCAAATCTGCTACAAAAGACCTCTTTAAAGTGTTAGAAAGCAAAGATGTCACTTTGAGGACTAAGGTGTGCCTGGCCTAAGCCACGGTGTTTTCAGTCACCTCATATGCGTGTGAAAACTGGACGGTGAATAAAGAAGACTGAAAAAGAATTGATGCCTTTGAATTATGGCGTGGGTGAAGAATACTGACTGTACCATAGACTGCCAGAAGAACGAACAAATCTGTTTTGGCAGAAATACAGCCACAGTGCTCCTTGGAAGTGAGGATGGTGAGACTTCGTCTCACATACTTTGGATGTTATCAAGAGGGATTAGTCCCTGGAGAAGGACATTATGCTTGGTAAAGGAGAGGGTCATCGAAAAAGAGGAAGACCCTCAACGAGGTGGATTGACACAGTGGCTGTAGTGGGCTCAAACATAATGATTGTGAGGATGGCAGTATTGTATTCTGTTGTACACAGGGTTGCTATGAGTCGGAACCAACTTGACGGCACCTAACAACAGTAACAACAGGCTACAACTTGGGATCAGGATCAACTTGGAAGTAACAGGTATAACTCAGTGGACAGTTCATCAATCAGGACAGCTTCCAACCAAGACAGCACTCGCTGCTTTCTGGCTGTGCTAGCTGGCAGGCCGCTCTTGGGCCTCTGCTGCCAGGCTCTGCTTGGGCAAGTGTTTGAGCTGTTTTGGCTCTGCAGTCAAGTGCCCGGAGGCACCCTACTTTGCCAGTAAAGCCTCCTGCCAGCAGACCTCCTGCCTGAAGGCGTTCAGCTCTCTCTGTGGATCTGCGAGCCCCCTGCAGCCATGCTGGTCTCCTGGTTCTTACTGCTCATACTGTCTAGTGCTGTCTTGAGCCGTCTTCAGTGGTACAGCTCCCTCTGTCTCCTAGGTCTAGCAAGTTCTCAACACAGGGACCCCAGGTCTAGAGAGCTCCCGGCTCTTCTTCTGATGGTAGTGAGATCCTCCTCAACCTCTGTGGAATTGGGTCTTTTATAAGCCTACTCCTCCTACCAAGACCACAAACTGACTAATGCCCTCAGTAGGCCATAGGCACCTTTTTTGCATAGTAAACTGTCCAATCCCTACAAGGGTTTTACCTACCTTATTTGCATAGTAAACTGTCCAATCCCTTTGCAAGATTGTAGCCTAGCAAATCATCATGGCAGAACTACAAACCCAGGGCCAGAAAGGCCATATATAAAGAGAAACCTACTGCATTGCAGTGACATATACCATTAATTATGAATTTTATTTTGGACAGTTGTGCATTTATCTGTTAAAAGGAATAATGGAGTTGGGATTTCCATTTCCCTTTATCTTGCCTTAGTTGTATGTGTGTACATGTGTGCATGCGTCTGTGTTACTTTCTGCTACTCTCACCTGTGAAGTGCCCATGCCATGCATCTCCTCCATCTCTTATTCCCTGGCATGATTGTTCCTGAAATTCCAAATAACTTTTACGTTTCTCAACCATTTTTGTGGTGCTCTCTTTTGTTTTTTTCACTTCAACTGCATACGAAGGTGTGGGTGGGCTTTGTAGAATTTAACAGGAAAACGTATTCTTGGAGTGGAATGTTAGTGTTAACAAGTGTAGGAAACTTTAGTCTGTAATGCAGATTATTTTACTGCACAAAATTTGTGGGAAAAAAAGCACCTATCACTTACGGTTTTAGAATCAGGGGCTTTAATTGGTGAAACTATTTTTAACAATCTCTGAAGACATTCTTGTGTGTTTCGTGTCAGTGCCGACAGAAGTGGAAGAGTGTCACCAGTCAGAAAGTGCACCTGGCGTGGATACTGGTCACCTGGTGGTGGAGCAGCTGCAGCAGCACATCCCTCGGAGCAGCAGCACATCAGATATCACCGAGCGGCTGTACTCAGATGTTTCTCAGGGTGTGTGATACCTTCAGGTCTTAATACACAACTGTAGATTCTCACTGGAAAAAGAGGCTGCATATAGTATTGCTGTCTGCATTTATTTTAACTAAATTTTATTTCAAAGGAATTTACTCTTTGATTGTAAGGATGTGATTTCTGGCAATGAAATGTTTTCACTCTTTCTATACATTTATCTAAATTGTATATATGTATGTCCGCTTTTTTCAAGGTAGTCATGCTTGAGGAATAGAAAGAAGTGCAGAGTGGCTGGAGTAGGAGGGCAAGGAGAGTGTTAGGAGGCGAGGTGGAGTTAGGCAGAAGGCAGACAGAGGGTAGGTGGGAGTGCCTGCGGGGAGGGCTGTGAGGGGAGTGGTTAAGGTTCAGGGTACCTCTTGTGGGAATGAGAATGGAGAGCTGACCTGTCTTGTGAAATGTTTATCAGTAGCTTGTACACTCTGCTGTAGTGAAAACAATAAATTTGTAACAGTATTAATCGATGCAGTTCTTCCACCAACTTTCATTAAAACAGAGTGTAGAAAGCAAAGAGGCAGGTGGTTAGACCTGTAAACAGTGAGTAATGTGTTTTACTCTGAAAACATAGTTAAATTATGTCTAGTTATCAGTGACTATCCTTATCCTTCAGTTTTAGTTTCCTGAGTTAGCTAAGAAGTAAACCAACTTATTTACCAGCAAGTTATCTTGTATTGCTTAATGTCAAGGTTTTGCTAGTCTCATAAAATGAAATCCTCTTGAAATTAGAAAATACAATAAAAATAATTGGAGAAATGTGTTATCTGAAAGATTTTCTATTCTCTGAAAGGTTCTGTGTAAGATGGTTGTGATTTTTTTTTTTTTCCTTAAATATTTGGTAGAATTCACCAGTGGTCTGTTATTTTCTTGTAGAAAGATTTTAAAATACCATTCAAATTTAAAATAATTACGACTACTAAGATTTTCCTGTTCCTGTTTTGATTTTGGTGAATTTGTTACTCTAGGAATTTGTTAAATTTTTTTACTTTTTCAAATTTATTGGCACCAGATTATAAAATCCTCGTACGATCTTTGTGATGTTTGTAGTGATATTCTCCCTCGCCTTCCCCGCCCCCTTTTTTTTTAACTACTGATGCTGTTACCTCTGCCTTCTCTTGTCAGTCTTTATCCTCAAGCGACGGTGAACCCCCGGCATGTGCTGCTCTCTTCCTCCTGCCAGCGTACCTGGCTAACAAGGCAGCTGTTCCCCTGAGAACCTTTTCCCAGCACCCTAGAAGCGTCTTGTCGCCCTCCCCTGTGCTAACATAATGAGCTAAGCGGACTTATTGGCAAACCGGGTAGTGCCTGTCGCAATGAATGGCATTGAGTTGACCATCCTAAAAGCTCTCTCTGGGCCAAAGAGACCAAGTCTGTAGTTTGGACCTGACCCACAGGCTGCTGGTTTCCAACCCTCATATAGACATGTCTAAAGTTAACAATTACCTACAAATAAATGTTATTTTCAAAATTGTCTGCATCTGAAACATCCTTCTGTTGATTTTTTTCCCCCAAATCTTTAGGTCAAAAGATAGAGGATGCACAGAATTTGAGTTTTTCAGACTGTAAGCCTGTTCAAGATAATAAGGGACATGTGAAGAAAGAACATGAAGGAATAACAGTAAGATATTTTCATACCATATTAGGTTGTCATTAAACATAAACATTTGAATTATTGGCACACTAAATAAATTTGTTGGTAGCAGTAATGCTTTTCTTTTTTGAAATTTTTTCAGTCAGATGGGTTATAGGCCAAAATGACCTTGAGATCTTTTGAGGTCTTGCTTGCTTTATTTGTAAAATTGCAATCACATTACAAATATAGAAAGAGAAAAAAAAGAAAGAAAATGGAATACACCACCTGGTCTTTGTGTGGCATTCTATATTTTTAAGCAGATCTCCTTGCCTGTGAGACATACATTCACATTTCCCACTCCTGACAGCATTTTAGATGGCAATCTCTACCTGATAAATACTTGAAAGGAACTCTTATCGTTTCTTTAAAACAGTAAGAGAACATTTATTGTTTTTTTAAAAACAAAACATGAAGTGTAATGAAGAAAATAAAAAAGCAGCCCATAATTCATCCACACAGATAACCCGTGTTTGTCTTTTAAAAAAAAAAAAAAAAGGAGTGTATGTTCCTAGAACACTTGCCGTCACAGGAAGGTACAAAATGAAAGGGGAAAGCCTCTCTTTGTCTCCCAGCCGTAAGATAACCAGGGCTAAGTTTCTTGTTTATTTTAAAAAAGGGGCATGTCTCAGCATATATGTGTATATTATGCCTTTCACACTCCAGTACCCATGAGCCCACCACCCAAGTTAAGAGCTAGGATGTTTCTAGTGTCGTTGCTTTGACCTGGGAGTTCCTTCCTTTCCTCTTCCCTCTGCTGCCTCCTTGCAGAGAACAGCATTATCCTGGTTTTATGTTCATTTCCTTGCTTTGCTCTGTAGTTTTGCTGTATATGTATGTATCTCCAAACAATATAATTCTTTAGTTTTGCTTATTTTTGAACTTTATAGAAGTTGTGTTGTTGCCTTGTTCACTCATTTATTTCTAAGATTCATTCACATTGAGGCATGTAGTAGTAGTTGATGAAGTTTTCTAGCAGAGAGCAGCTATGATATTCCACTGTGAATATACCACAATTTATTTTTTCATTGTCCTGTTGGTGGACATTTACATTGTTTCCAGTTTTTACCTTTTTTGAAAAATGCAGTTATATATATTCTTGTATGTGTTTCAAGATGGACATGTTTAAGATTCTCTCTATGATAGATATTTAGGAGTGGAAGCAATGAGTCATAGGTTAGGAGAGCATTATTTACAAGATACTGCATAAGTGTTTTCCAAAGTGGTTACACCAACTTATATTTCTGCCAGAAGTGTATAAAGAGTTCCCATTCATCCACATTCTTTTCAACATTTGATATTGGCGGATATTTAAATATTTATGAGTCAAGTGTGTGAAAATGGTATTTCACTTTATTTTACATTTCTCAGATACTTACAAGGTTGAAGATCTTTTCATTTGTTGATTGACCATTTGTTTCATTGTTGAAATGCCTACTGATGTTGTTTTGATTTTTACTTTTTCTCTTTGATCTGTACTAGTTCTTCATATAATCTGAATACTGATCTTGTTTTGGCTATGCTTGTAGCAGATACTTTCTTCCAATGTGTTTCTTATGTTTTCAGTTTCTTTACGGTATCTTTTGATGAACAGAAGTTCTTAATTTTGACATATTGATTATCAATCATTTTTATGGTTAGGATTTTACAAAATTTTAAAAATCTCTATTCCATAGGGATAAAAGTCTTATATTTTCTTCTACAGATGTTTCAGTTTTGCTCTACAAAGAAAATTTTTTTTTGTTGTACTTTAGATGAAGGTTTACAGAACAAATAGTTTCTCATTAAACAGTTAGTACACATATTGTTTTATGACATTGGTTAACAACCCCACAACATGTCAGCACTCTCCCTTCTCGACCTTGGGTTCCCTATTATCAGCTCTCTTGTCCCCTCTTGCCTTCTAGTCCTTGCCCCTGGGTTGGTGTGCCCCTTTAATCTAGTTTTGTTTTATGGACCCGTCTAGTCTTTGGCTGAAGGGTGAACCTCAGGAGTGACTTCATTACTGAGCTAAAAATGTGTCCAGGGGCCACAGTCTCGGGGTTTCTCCAGTCTCTGTCAGGCCAGTAAGTCTAGTCTTTTTTTGTGAGCTAGAATTTTGTTCTACATTTTTCTCCAGCTCTGTCCGGGACTGTCTGTTGTGATCCCTGTCAGAGCAGTCAGTGGTGGTAGCTGGGCACCATCTAGTTGTACTGGACTGAGTCTGGGGGAGGCCTCCACAAAATTTTCTTATCCTTTTGGAATTGATTTTTGTTTATGGAGTGAGGTAGGGATCCAATTTCATATTTTTCCCACATGGATAACCACTCGTCCCAGGCCCCATTTACTGAATCCATTTGTTTTTTCTTCATTGATTTGCAGTATTGCCTGTCTCTCGTATATATTGTTTCCTGGATGTATAAGGCTTCGTTTTGGTACGACTTGTCTTGATTCACTGGCTACTTTGTCTCTCTCTGAAGAATACTACAGTGTAGTAATTACTGTAGTCTTCCCTCTTCCCCCCGCCTCTTCTAACGGAAGCTGGTTTTCTACAGTCTTTCATTGTTGCTGTTGAGAAGTCTTCTGTCCATCCTGTCTAGTTGTTGTTCCTTGCTATTCTTTGTCCTAAGGAGCCCTTGTGGCACAGCGGTTAAGTGCTTAGCTGCTAACCAAGAGGACAGTGGTTCTAACCCATCAGCTACTTCACAGGAGAAAGATGTGGCAGTCTGCTTCTGTAAAAACTACAGTCTTGGAAACCCTGTGGGCCAGTTCCTCTCTGTCCCATAGGATTGCTATTGAGTCGGAACCAACTTGATGGCAATGAGATTCTTTGTACATTTTTTATCAGTTTCACTACAGTATATGTAGGTGGAGGTTTCTTTTGATTCATACGTTTATCTTTTTTGGTATATGCTATGTGTTATGTATCTGTGGATACTTATCTTCCATTGTTTCTGGAAAATTCTGGATAATCATCTCTTCAAATGTTGCCTTTTTCATCTGTCTCCTGGGACTCTGGGTAAAAATGTATTAGACTTTCTCATTCTATCTTCCATGTCTCTTAAACTGTCTTTCATATTTTCCATTCTCTTTCACTCTTTGTGTACATTCTGGGTAATTTCATCAGCTCTGTATTTCAGTTCAATACTTTTCTTTTTACGTGTGTCTAGCCTGATGTTTAATACTTCCATTGAGATTTTAGTTCAACAATTATACTTTTTGTTTCTGAAAGTTCAAGTTGCTTCTTTTTCAAGTATGTCTTATAATTTTTAATAATCTCTTGTTGTTTGCTTATTTTTGTGATCTCATATTTTATTCCTTTAAAAAGTTTACAAATTCTAATTCTAATTTCTGAAGTCCTTATGGGTCTAAATCTGATATTTGTTGTTTTTGAGACTCCTGTGCATGGTGATTTATTTCCTTGAACGTTTGGTGATCTTTGATTATGTGCTCCTCACTGGCCATTCTTAATCTACAGAAAACCTGATTGTGTAGATTGACGATGTTTCACCTGGACAACATTTACATGCTTCCTCCAGGAACCAGGGAGTACTGCTTTCATCCTGGAGTCCTAGTGCTTTTGTCAGTGGCTGTGACAACATTGGGTTTACCCTCAGGGCAGTCCCATTTCACTGCACTGGTTTCTGCTCACTTTTTGGGTGGGTGAGGGGCATTGTAGATCACTTGCGGTTTCTTTTGCTTCCTGTGAACCCCAAATGCAACCAAAGTTTTTATGTAGGATCTAGCTCTACAGCTAGAGGGTATTTGGTCTCTCCTATAGTCAGACGCAGAAGAGTCTATATTCTGCTCTTCAATTAGGAAATATCCTGGCATATTTCCATTAAACACATTAAGTATGTATCATCATTCTTTAAGGCTGTGTGATTTTTTTTTTTTTTTTCATATCCCTTTAGTTGGTTTGTTAAGTCCTAGAGTTTTTTGTTTTGTTTTTTTAAATTCAGTCTGCAGTGGAGGACCTCAAATCTCCATCTTTATTCCTGGCTTTATCCTCTATCTAACCAATCCTGGATTTTTGTCCCCTTATAGGACATCTCTTTTGTATATTCAGCCTGTAGTTGAAAATTAAAATGTGAAAAACTTTCTCAGATTCATTTTTAGTTCCTGCCTGCCTGGTGCCTGCCTGCCTGCCTGGTGCCTGCCTGCCTGCCTGCCTGCCTTTGACACCTTCATTCTCATGGCTTCCCAGGGTCTTATGCTTTTGTGATTTAATTTTTTTCTACGATCATATACAGCTGATTTTAAACCTTGCCTGTCATTCTGCAGCATCTCTCTTATTTCTCTCTTCTTCTCCTTTTCTACCATCAAAAGCCTCATCCCTTCATTCCATAACAGTTCCATAGCAGTTTTCTTCTTAAATCTGTCCCATAGATAATCCTTCTGGATGTTTTTTATCACAATAAGGTATTGTCTGGAACATACAGTTACTCGTTTTGCCAATATTGGGTCAAAATTCCTAAACCTAATGTTGCAGGCCCGTCATCAGCTGCCTCTTTTAGAAGGTGGTGTGCATTTCTTCTTATCTTTTCCTCTTCACCTGGCTACCTTGCTCTGCCTGCTGTTATGGGCTTCTTTCCCTGCACATAGAACTTGCTAATCCCTGTTCCAGGCTTCCTGCCTTCACCCTCCTTCCTTCTCTCTACAACTTCGTGTCTTTTGCCTTCTTGAATAGCTCACAGCTCTCCTGTCACTGTGAGCCCATGACGGTAACTACATACCCTTTAGAGATTTTATTTGCATATTTTTTTATGTATATTGTAATGAATTTGTGTAATTTCTGTATGCCATTTGTCTCTCCAAGTAAGTTATAAATTCTTAGAGGAAGCAGATTGATTCTGATGCTTTAGTCATCTATCTGTATTTAATACAAGCAGTGCTCAGGAGAGCCTGTTGTACATCTAATTAGGAAGGTTCTGAGTGAACCTTTAAGAGTCTCAGTGGAGCTTGTGCCTTCCCTGCCACTACGCTCACCACCAGCAGGTAACTTAGGCCTTCTGTAGAATCACACTAACTATATGTGTGTTTGACCAGAGGAACTGGTAGAACTTGAAAATATATTGCTTCCCTACAGTTTTTCCTTTCTTAATAGATCAGTTTAATTCCATGCCAGTTGACTAAGTGGAGGCCATAAATTAACGTTTCAGGTCTTGAGTAATTTATAATTCAGTTGTAGTAATTTGCGGACACATATCTTTCTAATGGGAACCATTCTTCTCTTTTTTTTGCTATTATTATTGTGTGTTTTTTTCTTTAGAAATGTTGACTAGAAACTTAATAGTTTTGTAAAAATAAAAAATTTCCTGTAACAAATGCAGCATTTCTTTTTGTCTAAAGATCTTAGTTCAAAGAAGCAGCAGCCCTGCTGAATTGGATTTAAAGGATGATTTACGGCAAACGCAAGGAAAACGCAGAGAAAGACAGAAGAGTAAGTTTCAGGAAATGTGGTCTGTGTTCCTCCAACTGCAGAACTGATGTGTTTTGTTCTTATTCTCTAACTGAAGTGATATCTTATCATCTGAAGAAACCTGTTTGTGAATTGGGACGTTTTTATTCCTGGAATGCCAGGACTGATGAAAGGTTAATCCACACATGCAATTAGCAGATCTAGCCATTTAGCTGTGCCTGAACGCCAGGCTAGGAACCCTGCTGTGTTTTCACCCCGCCCCCGGACCTTTCTCTAGATGAGAGCCACAGCAGGGCTGATGGTTTGGGTGAACAGATGGATCCAGAAGGAAAAATTCTCTTTCCCAGTAAGGTGCCATGGGAACAAAAAGTTTCAGATGTCCATTGAAGTCAATCGGATAAGTATTTTAAAAAAAGCATTTGATTAGAATCCTGAGACATATCATATATTATGAAGTATAGCCATAATACTCTGCTTTCCAGAAGCCAGGTGCTGGGCCACCTCCTTCTCAGAGCAGCATAGTAAACAACTTCAGCCTGCAAGTCTGGGATGGTTCTTGGTGGGTGCAGGGGCACCCGGGTTCTACCTTCAGACCCTGCTGACTGAGTTCTGTGGAAAGTGAAGTTTTAGGGACCTAACAGATGGCTTATGTGGTACTGGGACAACTTTCAGTTCTTGGCGTGTGACTAGAGGATAGCAGAGGGTGTTGGTGCTTCAGTGGTAGGATTCTTGACCTTCATGCAGGAGACCCAGGTTCTCTTCCTGGCCAGTGCATCTCATGTGCAGCTGTCACTTATCTGTCGGTGGAGACTTGCATGTTGCTCTGATGCTGAACACGTTTCAGCAGAGCTTCCAAACTAAAACAGACTAGGGAGAAAGGCCTGCTGATCTGCTTCTGAATGGAGACCCTGCAGATCACAACGGTCTGATCCCCTTGTACATAGGGTTGCCATGAGTTGGAGGCCACCTTGATGGCAGCTAACAAAAACGGAGGACAGCAGATTGCAGCAGCAAGGCTGGGGGACTGTTAGTGGCAGATACAAAGTGCAGTAGGAAGGGTGAACAGACAGAAAAGGTAGAAGAGAATTGTTAGGAAGCTGACAGGAGACTTTGAGGAGCAGAGCTGCTAGGTCTGGTGTTTTTTTTTTTTTTTGTAAGACTAAATAGCCCTGTAAGTCTTAATAGCCTTTGAAGGCATCACTGTGTTATGACATATTAGAGTGTTTCATTGTTTAAAGGGGAGAATTTCTATTGGAGAAACTCTGTTGTGGCGTAGCCCTGACCCTCAGTGATCCTGGATGACTTCCCTGGTCTCCGTCTAGACACTGGGCTCGAGATATGAAACATCCTTTGGCTCTTCTAGGCAGCAGAATGACCTTGTGTTAGTGATGGAATCAGCTCTCACCCCCTTCCACCACTTACGCCATTTAGTCGGTGGATAAGTTGCAGTAGAAAACTTAGCGACTTGATGGAATCATATGGGTATATGGAATAACTGTCAGTGAGTGAAGACACCGTGCAAAGAGTGGCAGTTGAGTGATGGTCTGTTGTGAAGCTCGTAATGACTATTAATGGCCTGCACATGGAAGCTTGTGTTGTTGACCCAGAGTCCCAGATGGGCACCTTTGGAGCCCCCTTGGGCTCTTCAGGTTCTTCTCAAGCCCCTGAATGAATGATTCCTGCTCTGTTGGCTGTTTGTTTAACCAAAAGCCAGTTGCCATCGAGTCAGTTACAAGTCACAGCCACCATATGTGTGTCAGAGTAGAACTATGTCCCATAGGGTTTTCAGTGGCTGTGACCTTTCAAAAGTAGATTGCCAGGCCATGCTCTGGGTGGATTTGAACCACCAACCTTTCAGTTATTAGTAAGTTGTTTAACTGCAGTGTCCCTTAGCTGTTTAAGTGTTTAGTCGCTTGCGTATCGGTGATCGTGAACGTTGTGATTTTCAGTAGTTGTTATTTCCAACTTTGGTTCTCTCCATTGTGCCAGGTGAAAGTGTCAGCAGTGACACACCTCTGGGCTATAACCGTGAGGCAGAGCTGTCCATGAGTGCCTGGCAGAGCTGTGAAGAGGACCCGGAACTGAACACTCCCGCAGATGCTGTGGCTGACTCCGATGCACGCCATTGGTTGCAGCTGAGTCCCACTGATGCTTCAAACTTCACAGGTAATCATATGTTTGAAAAAGAGGCACCAGTACTAATGCTGGGAGAGCCCAGAATTTCCTAGTTGTAAGAACTTTTAGAGGTCCTTCAACACATTGATGATAGTGGTACCAGCTCCACCAAAATTGGTTTGGCAGTCCCAACCACCTGTTCATAATTAGTCATGAATTTTCTGAGCCCTGCATGAGAAAGGTTCTAAAACAGTGGCCAGGTATGGGAAGAAGCATGCCATACCAATGTCCAGCGTCCACCACGGAAGGAAGGGACAGTACTTGTGTCAAATATTTGCCATCCCTGATCGAATTTGGTCCACTCTGGAAACAGAGAACAATGATTTATGCACCCTACATATGTCATAAAGTCCGGGTAAGTTATGCAGTTTTGATACCTTATTGATTAATTTTTAAAAAAATTTTATTATGAAATATTTAGTACACACAAGGTAAGTTGTGATGTAAGTTATAAAGCACAGTAATAAAATGAGCACCAGTGAGCTTACCACCCAACATAAGAAATAGAACAACATCCAAACCATTGAGATTCCCCGTTGGCCCTTCTCAAGTCCCTTTCCTCCTCCTCTCATCCTGTGATCCCATCCCGAATTTTTAAGTAATAATTCCCTTGATTTCTTTGTAGTCTTACCACATACATTTAGGTCCTGAAACAGTATTTCGTTTAGTTTTGTTTGTTTTTAAGCTTTTTAAAAATAATGTTATACTCTGTTTTTTACAATTTTTTTTGCTCAGTGTTGTATTTCTAAGATTTGTGCATGGACTACAGAGCCACACTTTCTGGGTCTGCATCCAGGTTCTGCAAGAAATTGCTGGGTGGCTTTGGGCTAGTTACTTAACCTGTCCTTCAGTTTCTTTGTCAGCAAAATGGATATAGTGAAAGTCCCTAACTCTTAGGGTTGTTGGGGGGACAAATGAGTGAACATAGTCAAGCACACAGAACAGTGTCTGTGTAAGAGCTGTGCGGTTTTAGTGATTCACATGTACACACACACACATACACGCATACACACACTGAGGGGGGAAGTCTAGATCTCTTGACTTCCATTCAATGCCTCTCCCTTCACTTAGGCTCCCAAGTATGACCGAAGCCTATTTTGGACTGCATGCAAGAACACGTACAGCATCTAACCATGTTACACTTCCTTCAGTGATAATGATCAGTAGTAGTAGTAGTCATTAAGTAATTAGTAGTAAAGCTGTGTTTTATGTGCCCTGGCTGTTGAGTGGAAGGACCTGCCTTTAAATCCCATTTCTGCTCCTTTCGGGTTGTGTGACTCTGAGTAAGTAAACCTCTCAAAGCCTCAGTTCCCTCACCCGTGTGACAGGGCACCAAGAAGATGTTTGTTTCTTATGATGAGTGTCTGGAGAGACAAGGTTCTAAGGAACTCTATTTGGGAAATTCTGACCAGAACCAAGTACTTCCTGGTCCACCATATTCATGCTCACATATGAGTGTCTTTTATGTAAACAAGAACAACAAAAACCCAGAAAGCACGTGTTAAGTAAAAATTGTTATTAAAATGCTAAAAATCATTTTAAAAATAATGGCTAAAATTTTACCTTAAATAGATTTTTTTTTTTTTTTTTTGCTGCAGATGATCTCTTTATTTATTTTTTTTCCCCATACAAAAATTTATACATACATTGTTATGTGACTCTAATTGCTCTCCCCATAATGTGACAGCACACTCCTCCTTTCCACCCCTGATTCCCCATGTCCATTCAAC